TGCCGATCCTCTATAACTATGTAACATATAATACCCGTATATGTATAACCTAAGTGTATTTTAACCAATCTAAAATAACTGACTGATTGTTCATTGCCTTTTAAATTTAAGTTACTTATAATTGAAAAGCTAATCAGTCAACCAATAAACAACTCAAGAGCCCGGTTTAAATGTCCTTCGGCCGAAGTTACCACACCTCCTTCATACAAGATAAAATTGGCGAAATGAATTCTAGTGTAGTGCAAGTGGTAGTAAAAAAGGATCAGAGATGAGTAATAAGATTCGAGAAGAAAGAACAAAGTCGTAAAGTAAAATGTGTAAAGTATTTCTAAACTCACGTGTTAAGGCAAGAGAAGTAGTGAACGCATCTGCTCTATCGCGACCACTTTTGAACCGTGTTGCCAAACGTCTCCAACAACTAGTCAAGACAGTCGTGTGAATCCCTTCAGGTAATCTACATCTACCAACATGGCTCACACCAACATTTAATACCCTCATGAACTAATGTTTTGGATTCGGGACCCCTAGCTAGCCAAGTTAGTGAGCCCACTATACGTGCTTTCGTTTCGGACAATCATTATTTTTCCTTGTAGGTAACTTTCCAGCACATGGTAAATAATACCAGTCGATATGAGTTGTCAAAGCACGGACATTTGTAGTATTTGCTGAAAATCAGTAGGAGGTCTTTGTTTAGGTGTTTTTAGAAAGTACAGTAAATTGACCAGTTACGCATAATCATTTGTATACAAAGCTTCTTATCGGTATACTAGTTGTTCATAATCAGAGTAAAATGCAATAGAAATCCAAATATGAAAAAGGCAGTCTAAAAGATGCAGATTAGATCAAAGAATGAAAAAGTAATAATGATTTCCTTCAATATTTAGGGGAGAATGTATAGAAAATTTTAATAGTGCAATCGACGTTGGCCCATATTACTGATTGTCTCCATCCATTGACTACAACTATTGAATAGGATTCAGTCAGGAAGTCTATGCATATGGCTGCCAATGGTTTCACGAACTAATAAATTGTCTCGAACTGCTAATCATCAAACAGTTGACACTCTTAAGATACCCATTCACTATCATGATCATATTCAAAAATATTGTCATTCAGTTTTTACATACTCCTTTTTATTACCTTCATTATTCTTGGCATATGATGTTCTACTTTTGGTATTGTGTTCTCCGAACTAGATGGTTTAATTACGGATCTTTCATTATCATTTTGGATAACATATTCAGTGCCTACTTCATGTAGAAATGAACTTTCCAGATATTACACAAGTATTTATTACATCGATTCATTCCAATGGCTTTGTTCGTGATTGGCTGCCTTCAGTAAATTGACATAATGCACTAACATTAATACGTTTTTATCCGGTTTCAAACGTAGGAAAATATGAATAAATGCAGAGTCTTTTTTTATTGTCTTTACAAATAACAATTTATGTATAGAGCTTTTAGAATCAACGAATATTTTTGAGATATTATTAATGTAATTCAAAAAAAGAATATGCCTTTATATATTGTTGGTTTAAAACAATTAGCCCCTTTGATAATGTAATGAGAAGACGAAGATTATCAGAACTATGTGATATATTAGCGCAACACATTTCGAACAATCTGGTCACACATATACTTTTAGATATAAAAAATAAAAGGTCAACTAGACTGGAAACGGGGTAAGAGGAGATAAGGATAATGATAAGAGTAATAATAATAATGTGAACACAATTCAAAACCTAATCACTCTGGATAATAAGTCAATATTACCAGGGTAAGAACAAACTTTTTGAACACACAAAGAGGGTTTGAATTTTCGTATGGCTAAGGCTTCAATAAACCTTAGTATACGCTCTTTTACACTTTTATACAACACTACAAAAGCTGAATTTAGATCAATCTTATGACCTGTTTCAATTATATGTTTAGCAATCACATTCCGAACAAGGTGTACGCGACACAGAATATGGTGTGCATCCGGATACACCTGCGTAATAGCAGCAGCAATTGCAGGTGAATCATCGGTCACAATGCCTACCAGTTGTCGACTGTTGGTACACCGTTGGAAAAAATGCAGGAAGGCAGAAATTAATGTTGACGTTTCGCGACTTAAAAAGGCAATGCACATGGGTATTGCTTTAAAATTCATATCCAGGGCAACGACTTGATATAAATGGACGTTCTCGTTATTCGTTTTGTACGTCCCGTCAAAACCAATTACGTCACAAAAGTGACCGGCCAAATTCACTTGTTCAGCAGTCATGAAGAAGAAATACGATAGACAGTTCTCATCGTCCAATTCGTATTCGCAAAGCCCACCCAAGGATGTTATGTGAGCTTTCAATTTCCCGTAATCACCTATAGTGTACATTATAAATTGGCAAATTCCGTACCAGGAAGGTTCGCGTGTGAGAACACTTTGTACCGCATATTGCAGACATCTTGAGCGGTCAGACATTTGCCATAAGATTGGTAAGCAAAATTCTTTATGTGGAATGCAGCGGTACCGGAAATCAGCAGCGGTCTCACAGTTTCAAACTCCCCATCCGTTAACCTGCGCACCCATGAATTACCCTGGTACCTCAGGGAATTGCACTCGTGATTGTGATGTACATTCCCACGTACAACAGTCCAATAGCCGTCTATAATCTTACAAAACATAAATGCTGGACATTGGGTGTTCATAGAAGCCCTTCGTTCAAAAAATTATAAAACAATTTACCAAATTACCTCCTCCGTCTAATACGTTGTGACGAACCGCTAGATCTTATACGCCCATTTCGCCAACACACAAATTTAATGTAGGATTTTTGATCTCTGCCAATATGCGAATCTCTCACTACATAATGACTGTAAGTCGATCTTTCAAAATTTGTGATAGTGGTCTTTAACGCTTCAACCGATGGAAACGCAACCAGAAACAAGGTAGTCAAAAAGACTTCCTCCATTTCCGTTACGTGAGAAACACCAGCGCTTGTACTCGGCACGTTACTCTGCTCCATAATGACGATTGAGATTGTGCTTCGTCGACAAGTACTGATAATTTATAACAATTTTCAAGACATAACTAACCAATTAAATCTAATTTTTGAAACTAGCCATTTCATTGGACGAAACACGGGATGAAAAATATTGTAATTTTGGGGTGGAAAATTTTTTTTATGGGGTGGGGTTTTTTTTTTAAAAAAAAATGGCCGGTCGGACAATATTATTCGAGGATGATGGATGTTTATCCTCTGCTCTTAGTGGGTCACTTGATTGTATTTGTTTCTGCAACCTACCTTAAACCTACCCTGGTAATATTGAATTATTATCCAGAGTGATTTGTTTTCATATTATTATTATTACTCTTACCATTATCCTTATCTCCTCTTACCCCGTCTCCAGTCTAGTTGACTTTTATTTTTATATATATGTGTGATCAGATTGTTCGAAATGTATTGCACTAATATATTACATAGTTCTGATAATCTTCGTCTTCATATACATTGTCGAAATATTGTTCGTTGTAGATCACTGGAAGTATTACTGGAGTGAATCAAATCCCAGTTCGACGTGATCATATGGAGAGTAAGATTTTCTACGTATTACAAAAACATTAAAATATCATACTTGTTAGTGACAATTTAAGTATATTTTGTTATTCAGAAAAAAATTCATTTGTAAAACTAATAATTCTCTGGTGAATTCTATATACGATAAGAAAAAAAGGGTGATAACAATCATTCTCAACAGCGTCGTTAACGTAAATAAATTTAACTAACAAATTATTTTATTATCTTCAAAAAATGCCGTGGACAAATTGGGTTCAACTTTTTTTGGGTATATAGGAGATTCAAGATATTTGGAGAAAGATTCATCTTTTGGTAGCATTTACGAGATTATGTTCTGGATCCTAAGGGGTTTAAACTTTAATTTGTAGAGCCTTCCGGTGTTTACAATGTTTGGTAAGAAATATGTGCTCAAGAACACTTCATTATATCCCATCCTTTACTACTGTCCTGATTTTATCGAATTCTGTTCTTACATTTTCTAAACTGTTTTCATATTATTATTATAAATGATGTTTCCAGTGAGAATTCTTCATCATCATTCGTACTACACGCTTTTTTCTGAAGCCCCAGGTTGCTCACATTTGTGTTTTGCTTACGATGATGATTATTATTTTCTCATGTTTCATAAATCCCTTATTCCATAGATATGCAATTTTCTGGTAACAACTCACTATACTAATATTTTAACAAATATAATTTATATATATTAGTTGTAGAAACAAAGTAGGTGAAACTAGTTTCTATACTGAACGAGTGGTCCTATTTATAACTCACTCTGGTTACTGTTACTTTACTGTAACATACCTTGATACACTTGGCCGCACGACTTCACCCTAGGATCTATAGTTGGCTACAAGATACATTATAATATAGAACCTTAAAAAATGAGTATTCCAACTAATGTAGCTTACTTATGCTATCATGATAAATCAGCACGACCGCGGAACAAACTTAGCAGCTATGGTTGGTATTTTGGAAAGCCGATTCGAACCAATCTTACACTATTCAACTAGGAATTTAACAACTTTGTGGCTAAAGTACATGTTTGTCAGACACTCAGTTACATAATCCGGATAGTTTTGTGACTATTGGCATGATCTTTAGAGAAAATGTTAAACAATGAAGAACAAAATGATACAAAACAACAAGGACGTTTGAAGGTATAAAATAACGGAGATGTATCAGCTTGTTGAATTATACCGCTTGTCTTTGACAATTTATATATTCTATCCTACAGATCTGATTCGAAAAACCTAAGTCATTCAAAAAGGTTAATTCAAAATCTGAGGACTTCAAAATTTACAGGAATACTGTTTAAATTATTTAGCTACCAAAATTATTGCTCAAATGAGAGTATAAAACTAATATCAAATGGAGGAAATATAACTTTCTAAATAAATTCAAGCAATTTTGTTTTGTATATTTAATGTCATCAGTCATTCTATGGGGTTAACATGAATTCAGTTGATAAATCATCTGAAATACGAAAAGAGTTTTTAGTTAGCATCTCACGTTCTTCTTCCCCATAGTCATCACCATCATGTTCTATTTTTTCATAAGGTAACTTTAAACATAAATGTGGTAATTTGATATGAGGTAATTTCCTTTGTTTTATAGGTAAAGGTAGTAGACATGACGACATTATTGGTATGAACCAATGTACTACTGAATTCGATCTTTTCTCTTCATCATAAATTAGTGAACATAGGAATTTATGATAATTGTCTAAATCTTTACTATCCATTTCATTGATAACGCAAGGTATAATATGTTTTGAAATATTTCGTTTCTTTGAATTAGTTACATTCACTTGTAGTGTTTCAATTTCTGAAAGCTTTTGTTTTAAAGTTTCTTTAAAAGGTTGATGTTTATCAAATGGTAAAATATTACATTCTGTTGGTTTTATGTGTATTTTTGGTGGGAAATGTCCTGTCAATGCATTTTTATATGATATCCAGGGTTGTGCATATGAAGGTTGAGTTGGATCACGTAAACTTTGACTTTTCATAATATCTCCATGTTTTGTTTGTTGTACATTATTAATCCATGGTTGAAGAATATTCTTTGTTTTCTGTTAGATAAAAGGATGAGATTTAAACAAAGAAGTTTTTAAAGTTTATTCACATCACTGTTTTTATCGTGGTGAAAAATAAGAGAAATATCGATTTTTACGAATGGGTTGGCAAATGATCATCAAAGAAGATATCTTTTTTTACTCCTGATCAAACTATATCAATAAATAGTACCATGTGCCAGTAGACTGGATGATAACAAAGTGAATCACATTTACTAGTAAACATAAAAAGCTTGAAAACTTTAACTCTAGATATTATTTTCTTTTCTTTTGGAGGTTAATCTAATTAATGAAGGGTTAAATTATACGAGTTTGGTTGGTATTATAGTGAGTACCACCAGTTTCGAACTATTATTTGTGTCATAAGGTGTGGTAAGACAGTCGAAGAGCTGAATTTCTAAATCATATGAGAAGTTAATTGTACAATATTATTTCGGTAGATATTTCTTCATCATTGGCTTATGTCAATGTTATTGGGTTTCATTTTTATAATCATAGAAAACTACAAGTTTTTTGTAAAGATGCGTATTATTATCTGAATAACTTTTCAACTAACTTCATCTTGATTCAGTGACAAAGTTACTTCCAAGAATTAAAGATATCTTGATTTCATTTCGACAGTTGAATCGTCCAGTAGGAACTCCGTGATTGATATTTTTTATTTCATCTGATCTGGAACCTAATAGCTCTCCTTAAGTATAAGATTTTACCTGTTTTGCTGTTGACTTGACTGTTCCAACAAGTGAGAGATTTCTCAATGACATATCGACAAGTTTCTATCCGCAGTCAACAGATGAACATTTGTTAGTGAAGTTACTAGTTTCAGTTATGTAACACGAACAGAATGATCACTATTTCTCATCGAGAATAATTGATAGTAACAACTTTTGAATGTTGACAAATTGAATATCTTCTGACTCGAGTTACTCTCAATTAAGTGATTACTTGTTAGTCATAATGTATCATCAGTTGTCTGTATTTGACATTATTTGGTAGAGAATCTTTTGACTAAGTTGATAACGAGTATCAATTTCGATTTTATAATTATGTCGAATATATGGTTTTCTTTCGGATACTTTTTTCATTTCCTCTTTCTGTTTAAAAATTCGCGTTTATTTTGTAGTTTCCATCATAGAATTCAGTAAACATTGGACAGCTGTTTCGCCACCATATGGGAAACTTCAGGAGTACACATCTGATATGACAAGATTTCTCCTCATCTTTACTTACGTTTTTAACTCAATGTGATGATTACTCAGTGTGGTATTTGTTTTATTTTTAGTGTAATGTTTATTCAAGACATTTTTTGTATTAATTTATCGTGAAATTCGTTCAGCATGAAGTGTAGCTCGGGTTTTGTAGAAAATGCATTTCTCCTGAGTACGGTAATTGTCAACTAATAATCATGTATTAGTAAAATGAACATATAAATGAATGTACTCATGTATCAATTTGATTTATTCTAAAGGTAAAATAAATACTTATCACCAGCCTTGGTGTTCTTCACTATGCTTCCTTGGATTCGGGGTTTCATCACTTATCACAAATCAGTTAGGTATTCAGCAGGCAAACATAACACCGTCTACGACCGTACTAGCGATTCAACTTAAGATCCTCAGATCTCGCTGTGAACGCTTAACCTCTAGAGCACTGAGTCGGCAACCAATAGTTTACATACGTAATCCTAATCAATTTACTACCTTGCGTAATTATCTTCTAACGTTATCAGTGGATAACTGTCAGAGATCCATGATGTTGAGGAGTTACATATTGGGACGGAAAAATTGTCCAGTGCTTCCTGGTTCCACTCGTTGCCTAATTAGGGTTAATTTATGACGTAAAATATAAAATTCAAGAATCTCTACGAGCTCCACACATTGATTGCATTTATTTGCTAATCACGCAAATCAACGTGAAGGAAACTAAGGTTAGTCCGGTGATAGATGACTCACGCCCGTCAAAGAAGGAAAAGCAGTCTCCAAAGAGGCCTGCCTTAAACAAAAGCTCAAGAAAAGTAGGGTCTTCTGTTCCCCGTCTTCCAGATGGGATCCAACAGGAAACACCTAGAAGCCGCAATCGCAAGGCTCGATCGGTTTCAAACGGTAAACATAACACGACCTCTCAGGTCGTCGACAACCCCCCAAAACCCAACACTAGGTTTGACGCAACTGTTATTGCTTCTACCAGCACCGTTGACGAATGGGTAAAGGTTGTAAGGAAGAAAAGTAGGGATATAAAAGAGAAACCTGCCCCCGTAAGAGTGGTTGAAAAATCGAAAGCTGATTATAGCGACAGATCAGCTATTTTTCATAGAATCAAGGAGAGCGATAGCTCTGAACCTAAAGCTCGTTTTGAGCATGACATTGTACTGATTAGGCAGCTGCTTAATCAACTCATGCCTCAAAATATGACCGGGGTCACCTTGCTAAAGGTGTACAGACTAGGGAGTCTAACGGACTCGAAACCAAATCATTCCAGACTGCTTAAAGTAGTATTCGGCTCTTCGAACGAACGTGACCTAATTTTACAAAATGGACACAAATTAAAGGGTTCAGGAGTCTTTATCCGAAAGGACCTACCGTTGGCAGACCGTGTTAAAAGACGGGAAGCCGAGAAAGAACTACAACATAGGTTAGACGCTGGCGAAAAGGACCTGAAAATTGTAAATTTTCGGGTTGTAAGACTTCGACAGAGAATGATGCCGAAGCCACTCTGGGTGAAGCACGAAGGCACTTAAAGAGGCTTCGGATCTGTTACACCAATGCACGAAGCTTACTTAATAAGCGATCGGAACTAGGTGTACAGATTGACTCTACAAAGCCAGATATAATCGCAGTAACAGAAACCTGGCTGACACAGGCTATAGATAGTATAGAACTTGATTTCGAGGGCTTTACGTTAGTAAGGGCCGACAGAACACAAAAACGCAAAGGAGGGGGAGTAGCTCTATTCATTAGGAATGCTATCCCATTTACCATTATCGATAGTGTATCCCATGAGAGTGGGACGTGTGAATTAGTTAGTCTTCGCTTAAAATGCAAGGGACAAGAGCTGCTGATTGGTTTGGTCTATCGCAGTCCAAGCTGTGAGGCAAATGAGATCCTGTTAAGCAGTCTCAATACTTGGTCCCAAAGTGGTCGATGTCTAATCCTAGGGGACTTTAATGCACCTATGGTAGACTGGGAAAATCTGCGAACTAAATCGTCGGAGAATTCTTCCGAGCAGGAACTAGTTGATGCGGTTATCACATGTGCTCTAGTGCAACATGTGAAAGAAGCGACAAGGTACGATCCGGACACTGAATCATCCTTATTAGATCTTATACTGACTCACTATGAGGATGATGTTGCGAACCTCCATCATATGCCACCCTTAGGTAAAAGTGACCACGCAGTTTTAACTTTCGACTTCCATATAACTGCCAGTCATGAGGACGCGTCAGTCCAGTCCAGACCCAACGTCTGGAAAGCAAACATACCAGACATCATGCACTCAGCATCGTTAATAGATTGGACAATAGACCCAGAGTCCTCCATTGAAACGGCCTGGGACGCATTTCGAAATTCATACTTAAAAGTTACCACACCTCACATCCCTTGGACTATACCAAAGGGGCCGAAAAACTCACCACCATGGTTCAGTAGGGAGGTCCGTATCCTTCTCCGTAAGAAAAGGAAAATGTGGGATAGATTTAGGTTACTGGGGACTGATGAGTCAAAATCTCAGTATCGAAAGGCTCGGAACACTTGTGCCTCGACCCTCCGTAAGTCTAGAAAATTGTACGAAGAAAAACTTGTTAAGGAATCCATAGAATGTCCTAAACGCTTGTATTCCTATATAAACCAAAGGACAAGGAGAAAAGGAAATATTCCTGCTCTATGGGGAGACAGTACTGCTTCATCATTAGTGGAGGACGACTTTGGTAAGGCTCAAGCGTTCTCGAACTACTTTAGCAACGTGTATACCATAGAAGCGCCCTTCTCGTCAGCGTATACAGATCCCCCCATACATACACTGGATAGCGTGACCATTAAAGAACTCGATGTCTTTGGTCTGCTAAATAAGCTTGACATAGGTAAATCCACGGGGCCCGATGAATTACATCCTAGGCTACTGAAGGAATTATCTAACTTCGTTGCAAGCCCTTTAAGTACATGCTTTAACCTATCCGTTACGCAGGGTCGCTTACCGAAAGATTGGAAAAACGCCATAGTAAGTCCTGTCTTCAAAACAGGCACGAAACACAAACCTGAGAACTACCGCCCCGTTAGCCTAACTAGTGTGGTTGTTAAAATATTAGAAAAGATTATTCGGAAGGAGCTGTTTAAGTATCTCGATAAAAACCGGATCCTCTCGGAGAAGCAGCACGGCTTCAGAATAGGTTATTCTTGTCTCACTAACTTATTAGTGGCTCGTGAAAGCTGGTGCGCTCTTAAGGACCAAAAGCTACCTGTAGACGTCGCCTTCATTGATTTCAGTAAAGCTTTTGATAAAGTTCCGCACAACCGGCTGTTATATAAGTTAAGAAAAGTCGGGATTGGAGGCAATTTATTGATGTGGATAAAAGACTTCTTAGTTGGGCGTCAACAAAGAGTAAGGGTGAACTCAAAGTTATCTAGCTGGGAAACTGTGCTTAGTGGAGTGCCCCAGGGTACAGTTTTGGGGCCAGTGCTATTCCTCTTGTATGTAAATGACCTTCCTTGTCTCCTATCATCATCGGTCTTGCTATATGCTGACGATGTCAAGATATGGAAAACGATACGATGTAAGAGTGATAGCTTAGAACTTCAAAATGACCTGAAGAAGTTATCTGAATGGTCTCAAACATGGCAGTTGCCGATAAATACTTCCAAGTGTGTTGTGATGCATATCGGTCATCAAGGCACAGATACATACACGATGAATAACACTGAGCTACCTGTCGTCCAGACATATAATGACTTAGGAGTTATCGTTAGTCAAGACTTAAAGACTACTGCACACTGCCGTGCAATAGC